TGACTGCCACGCAACCTAAGTTGTGTTACACCAGTTTTAAATAATTGATAATCCTATCAAACTGAAAATATGAGTCTACGGAGTCACATGATCCCTCGGAACTCGTCAACAAAGTCACGTCTATCTCACTAGTAGATACGAATACAATACAACAACTCTTCATCCCACAGCATCATCTCATACACTGAATACCTACTCATTCATTCATTCAAACCAAACCTAGAGCCATTAAGTAGTGAATGGCATGCGAACCATCAGGATAACATTCGCAGTGCACGTCAAACTCACTGAAACCAGTGTTTCAAGATGTCTACACTCAGTGAATCACCATCTCCATCACGAGCAAACACAGATACATGGACATAAAAGGTCGTTTACATGGTGCTAACACCGGATTCCACAAATCATACAGAGACAATGCTGGTCGAACACTCACAGTCCTCAGACATTCGTAGATTGAAGATGAACGGCTTCTCAGGCGTAGAACAGAACTACCAGCACAGACACAGAGTATACGCAACCCTCTACACGTCATGATAGCACCGATGATAACCTAAATCGACCTGTGCAACTTTGCGTTCAGTTATCGGTTAGGAATCTTATCAGTCACACTTTCACTAGCACTCACAGAAAACGAACTTTTCAGATACTTATAACCGTTCACTTCAATGGCTGTGTAAACATAGGCAATTCGAGCAGCTTGTATTTAGGTGCACAATAAGCCAATATCTTTTGCCTGATAGCATATCTGCGTCACTACCACCTACATTCTTGACATCTATCGTGAGAATATTGACACCATAGTTGGGGAGGAACGGCAAAACTAGACAATCCTACTTTTGATCTGGAATAATGGAGAGATGCTTGTACGCCTCCAATATAATTGAGATGCCCCCATATGGGTGTCCAACATGTTAACAAGCTTCCCGGGAACACCTCCACGCTAACAGAATAAAATCCAGTCCAATAAACAAAAGACAGCGATCAGATGAAGAAACAATGATGACTAACTCACAACACGTGATAATGATGACCGCATGTAGAAGTTATTACGTTATTATTGGATCTAGAAATAAGAAAGCCAACCTACACGTTTCAAATCGAAAAACTTTTATTCCATACAGCTAATGAAGTGTGATGGTAGTTGGCATTTTTACGAAACTCGAATGAGACTGATAACTCAGTTTGCTACGAATTTTGCATAGGCTCTCTCGAAAGATTATAACAGTGCCAACCTCATTCCAGAATGATTGACACCACCAGTCTTAAGTACCTTCTCAAACAATTGTTAGTTTCCTGACTGTATCCTCATGTCCATCCTTAGGAAGAACCGGAGGTCAGTTGTTTGGAGTATCTTCTGAACCTCCAATACGTCGGGCATTATTTGACAATGGAGCATAAGTGAATGCTGCTGAAACAGTAGGTCAAATAAATTGCTTTCTCAAGTATTCTGACCAGATCTGAGAAAACAGTTGATCCATAGACGGTCCCATCAACACCTCGTTTATTGCTGGTGGTAGGTATAATGAACTGGAACAACTCTCAGATGTAATGGGTGCTCCTATCCAACCCGCACTTAATGTCCAGCCTTGTGGTCCTTGTTGATGGCCGAACAATAAAATTTCATCGTCATCGAACGACTGCCGAATGACCTTCGAGTGACCAATCCCGTTTGAGGTGACTGTGTGATAGTACTGCAGAACTTTGAATTAAAGGTTGATGCCCAATCTGATAATTGATAATTCGACTGGATTCAAGGATGTTATTTCTCATATTATCATCTCGTGACATCAGTTAGTTCTGCGAGGCTTTCCATGTGCTCACACTTCCCATAAAGGAGAAAACTATAGACAAGATATTCACACTAGCCTATAATTTAATATTAGATTCCACAACCTAAAACTTAACTACAACCTTTATGTTAACTCCCTAAACTCTGCCGTTCAATCCCAAGTAGTTCTGCAATACCCAAAAAGCAGCTGTCTTTCTTGCTGCTTTGACTACATTTTGTACCCATTAATACATAGATTTTTACCTAATAACCAACTTCATGGACCCGACTCCATATCAGACTTGTTGCTCATAATCATATCAATGTAATCACACAACTTTCGACATTCGACTTTTACAGTCGGAAGTAGTGTGATTACATTGATATAAGCAATAATTTATGCTCGAAACGTCATCAAGTAAATAATACTGTATCACTATGTGTTATAAATTAAATAAACAAGTCTCATATGGAATTAAATTCTATCACAATGCCCATGTTTTACACCTATATTCATAGACCTGATATTTAAAAAATGTAAAACTACTTCTTAAATCCTTTTAGACGGGCACAAACAAATAATTTTTATCGTATGTACTTTTACTTTAGGTAGTTAAAAACTTAAATGAGTCCATGTACATCGTTAGAAAACTGTATCCAAAGAAACAACTCCTTCTGTGCTGCACTCAGTGTCATTACAAAGTCACTGAATGACGACCAAATCCTTAATTTCCATTGCTCAAGCTAACACTTTCAGGAGTGGCGGATTTGAGTGCACTCATTACATCAGTAGCAAATGAACGACTTCATTTTAAATGTCGACGGCTGTGGCGGAAATTGGCAAAGATTAGAAACAGACTGCTATCTGTAAAATTTTTAGACGACTTCACAACTATACTTACAATCAACTAGTTCCCATTGGCCATCCAGGCGATTTTTCTTCGGAGCCTGGATCCCCACTTGATTCACGATAACGTTACAATATTGGTCGAGCTCACTTTATAAAGGTCGCTAGACTGGTGGTAGAGCTCGACCTTAAATGAATCCGCGCGGAAGTTCCTTGGACCATAGGCAAATGTGACGAAGAGATACTTTTCTTCCTAACAGTTACTACTTACGATAGCCTCAAGAGGTCCAGGAGACTGCTGATGGAGATCCAGTAAACCAACATCTCTAACATTTAATTTGACGCCGATGTCACAGGGCCTCCGGACATACTTTCAAACTAAAGGCAGTGGTGGAACCCTAACCCTTACACCCCGAAGGTATATCATAAACGTAGTTAGTTTTGCCAAATTACTGTGATGAACTTCTGTGAGCGAAAGTTACGATAACTGACTCGATAATTTCTTGTGAGCTCAAGGATGCAAGCGGCACTAAGCAATCTTAGTTAAGCTTTCCACGGGCCCCTAGGGAATATGGTTAAGGTTTGACAGTCATCTGACGATCACTCACATGTTCTATAAGTAGTTACCCTCTTTGCAGCTGTGGATGGTTGGAAAATTCTTATAGCCATCTAACTCTTGGGGAACTGAAAGGTGTGAAGAGATTTTGGTCCATTTTCCCTAGACATCATGACTAAATGCCACACAAGGTGTGTCTTTAAGAAATACGACCTCCCTTCGATTACTGTGATATCTACAACACCGTACTTGTAAAGCAACTCGGCATGCATGATAAATATATATATATATATATATATATATATATATATATATATATATATATATATATATAATACGTACATTTCCGTAAATTAGGTTTTAAAAACACTGTGCCAGTCTTTCAGTTATCCAAGATAACCTAGGCAAACAGATCTTTGAATAGGTGACTCGAGATTTCAGAAAAGTCCGAACACGACCGAACCACAGATATAGGTTTAATTTAAATTTCTCCCGACTAGCGTGAATTTACATCTCCTCTATAGAGATTATATATGAAGGGGAGTGATTTATTTTTATGATTTACTGAGAGCTTTTCAATTTCCCTTTAGTAAACCATAAAACCAGTTAAACAGTGTTTTAATAAGACGACTACAGAGTACAATGTCTAAAACACCATATCTCCTGCACTGCAAACGACACTAAATGGACGAAAAAAACCTGTTGTTTAGATTTGTACTTCAAAAAATGAATGACAGAGAATCTAAGTAGCCATACAATTCGTTGTTTACTTTATGCATCACTGTACTGATCTCGACTCAACGAAACAGATTTTAACCCCCTCCCTCCCCCGCTTTCTAAACTAATCATTTAATTTAATTTTGAGGTTTAGTGGGGTTTTATTTGCCGATTTCACTTCACTGCCGAAGATCTTCGTCAACTTTATGTTCATGTGGATTTAAAGATCCATAAAGTTGAGCTCTCACACATTTAGCAAAGACCATCTGTTTTCTCCAACTTAACATTCGTTGAGATTTTTTTTAACGTTAAAAACGCCATTTGAACAAATAAGAAATGGTCACCATTCGATCGGGAACATCTAAACTAGAGGGGGAAAAATAAGAAACATGAAAAACAATATAGTTTTTTCGCGCATCAAATAGTTAATTGCGATGAAAAAGGAAATCATATATTTTGAGCAAAGAAATAAATTAGATCTGATAAAATAGAATATGAATATTAATCAGGAGAACAAAATTTGCAGATAAAAGTAGTTCAGACAGTTCAATAGTTTTTAAGACACAAAAATGGGTACTTTATTCTCGTTTTAAAATCAAAGAACGATGAGGGCTAAGGAATAGAAGAGAATAGAGTTGTAAAAAAAATCTCATCAATGACTTTCCTACAGACAGTTAACATATGCATATGATAGCCAGCAGCGTAAATTTAATAAATCGTTGACATTGAAAGTAAAATTGGGTGAAGATCAACGTTGGTGGCACAGTAACATAGAAAAAGTAAAAATATTCACTCAAGGAAAAGACTATGAATATATGATATGTATTGTAATGAAACCTCTGCCTAAACAGAAATACTTCAGGAAATAAGTTTATTGAAGTGGAAGGTGTAGAGCATAGAAAATATAACAACACGCTGTGCAACATTAATAACAATAATCAAAATTATCTTCAAAAAAAATTAAAAAGACGGAAAAACCAGTGGTAGAAAGAAATCAAATAATATAGTGTTGTATAAATTTATTCCAATAAACGCATAACCGTATATCTCATCTAAATTCCAGGAGGATATGCTTCTTATCTGGTTGAGTGTAGCAAAATGACATTATTTTACTTTGGTTTACTACTGAAAACTCCTGTTTGCCAGAGTATAATAATCACAATTACAAGAAGTAAGCCACCAACAACTCCAACAATGATGAATTTCATTCGTAAATTCTCCCACCAAGTCTTCCGTGCCACCTTTGTGGCTGTCGTCTGAAACTGATTAGCCTAGAAAGGTATGTGTATATATATATATAGATGTATACACAGGTATGGATAAATTAGTTTGGTTAGTTAATGAAAAACCGTATAGTATTAATATATATAAAAAGATATAAGAAACCTAACTAAACGAATAAACATCGAAGCATTTCAGATCAATCGGTGTACTCTTCGACACCGCACCACAGGTTAATCTCATAGGATAACTTAGTGGTGAAAATAAAGAGAAGCTAATATGTGGTAGAAATAATAGTCCGAAATCACGCACAAAAGTGCATCGATTTAAGTGAACGTAATTCATAACAGTTTATGCAGAAAAAAACTAAGAAAGCCCACAATATATAAATAAATAAGGATGCGCAGCTGTGTGAAGACAAGTTACTAAAAAGTAACAAAATCCTCTAGATGTTAAAGATAAGGATCAGATACATCTGCACCAAGGTAATAGATTTATGTAACAGAGCTATATATAGCTAGGACATCGACCCAGAAGCCTACTCGGCAACCATCAGAAATGAGACGTCATGGATTAGCGTTACGACTTCAAGTAGCATAACAAGTTAGAGTAAATTGTGGTTTCGTGAGTGCAGATTCATGATGGAATAACTGCGACTTTCAAACCTTACACCTTAACCGATACATATAACAGCCAAACGGTTGTAGATTACCTTCAACCAATAAATAGATAGCCAGTTATAGAAGGGTGAAGCTTTGACTAATATGAAGTCCATTGGTTCCGAAAAGCATGTTTTTTCTGAGTTCAGTCATCGGGAATTTCAGAAGACCTAAGCTAATTAGTAAGCCTATAATAATTTGAAAATAAAGGTAGATTCCCAGACATAAAATCAATGTGAATCAGTTGAAGTTATATCACTTCACAGCAGCATCCAAAAACAAAGTGGGTAAAAAAAAGAGATTTCAACGTAGACATAATTGCAATAAAGGAAAAAGAATTTGAAAAATGAAGGCCACTGAAAATTTTTAAAGAAATCAAAGTGAAAGAACTTGTGCAGTTGTGGTCAATTTTTAGCAGTCACAAAAAATCCCGAACCAATGACTCCGATTGTCTCGAGGACCCCAACCAAGTAGTCTATAACTTCATACACGGCTCAGAAAACAGTCAAAGACTTCATAAACTTATGTCATGTCGTGATCTGAAGATTCACAATCTTCATCCGACGAAACCGTACTTCGGCTAACATTGAACTCCAAGGTACATCGCGGTTCTGCATGCGTAACACATATCCCAGTTACCTAAACAGTAAAGATTCACAATATCAGCGACTGCTGTACCCAGTACGTTTGCAAAACTTCAATGGGACTAACATAGCGATTTGATCATAAGTTCCCGGAGCTTATACAACTGTTCGATTAGGTCATGTAGTCAATGCATTTCACCATTCCACTCCATATTTTTAAACTGTGAGTCGGTGGAGACTAGTCCTGAACCATCATCTCAAATGTCGGGTGCGAAACATACACAGATTTCTACTCAAGGCATTCCCATAACCCACATATTGTCAGCATCCTCGACTAACAGGACAATGTCATCTGCACACTTCAAGCCAAGCAAGTCCCCTCCAGAAAGTAGGTTGGTCATTTCAAAGTCGAAGGTACACTAAGCTACGTTCACTAACAAATCCGAAATCAAGTTAGATACGAACGAGGAAATGGAGCGACCCCACCCCCACCCCCACCCCACACACACACACACACTACCAAACACCACTGCTTGTCTCCGATTCACATGGCAACTCACCAAAGGCTCTTACACTGCTATATGTGTTCGAGTAGAGGGCTTCGGTTAGCATGTCACACTTGCTCACCCTAGTACTCCCTTCAGTCATACACTCCAACATCTCTCGGTTGATAGAGTCAAACCCCATCTTCAGGTCATCAAATATACCAACTGTCGACCTCCACCTGTAAAAGTATATCTGTGTTCCATAACCTGATGAGGCATAAACCTCTGATCCTTTCACCCCTATCCATATCCCAAACCTGAATGGCTTTACCGAGTTCGTTGTTCTTGAGTCACAGTTAGGCCTAGGATAACTATGGTCCCTAGGATTCTGGACACCATGTTAGTCAAACTAATTCCCCTATGGTTGTCAGTGGAAGACTTCTCTTCTTTCTTATAAGCTAGAACGATCAGTGTAGTAGACCAATCTGATGGGAATAACTCTGATCCCCACAAGGCATCTCGTGCTTTAGTTACTCTACTCAACCATTTAGTAGCTACTTCCATAAAACTTTACAGTGGCAAACCATCAGGTCCTGCTGCCTCGCATACTTTCAGGTTTGTCACAGCCTTTTCAACTCCAGGGAGAGTTGGAGAACTGACATCTACGTCCCATTCAGGCTAGGAGTGGATCTGGACCGACAGCTGCAACTTTAACGTGGTGGTTGGGCTTGTATATATCAATGCCCCAACAAACTACGTTGGTGAGACCTTTGTTGCCTTGAGGTCCTACCATAATAGGAGGGTGTGTTGGATAGTGGTAAGAAAAGCAGTTACCGTTGTAGTGTAAATTACTACACCACGACGGGGGTCCAAGGACGAAGCCATACTACTGGCTGGATGAGGCGTGACATCCCTTGGATGACCAGTAGTGCAGCCTCCCCGGTAGGAAGGCGTTAGAAAGGTTGGTTAAAAAACAACACACTGCTTCCTGCCTTACGGTATTTCGGTGCCGGGGGTATGGGTTTTCTCTACCTATCGTCATACCAATCTAGTCTCATGCCAACAATCCTGAAAAGGCTGCGTAAAAGACATCAACCAGATGTTCTATAGGCTCTGGTATCACACAAATCTTCTCTCTCAGGTGACTGAAGCATCGATGTGGGTCACCCTAACTGTGCTTCAAATTGTTCCCCCTAACGTTCTAGCCACCTGTCCTGAGACGATATCATGGCCCAACCTTCTGGGTGATTATCATCTTGCCAGCATGCTTTTCCAACTGAATGAGCTTTCCCACATGAGTATCGAAGTCACCTGCTACTATGACTATATCTGAACGTTTTGGTTTCTGCACCAAAACCGACAGTTTTTCATAGAATTCATCCTCTGTATCATCCAAAGTGCAGTCGGTGGGTGAGTAGGTGAAGATTACGAACAGGTATCAGCCAGACTCAAGATCCTTCCTAGTTTTTTTCAGATCCATTCAGTTGAACAGCAAATATACGGTTGCTAGCTGTTATTCAGTCGAGAAGTGAGCTTTCTGCTCGAGAACTCAATGCTATGCTTACACTAGCAAGTCCATGAAAGCTAGCCAGTGAATATCCGGACATCTGCGAAGGAATTTTGTAGATTCACTGCACTAACCAGTTAAGGTCAAGTGAATAGCCCACACTTAGGTTCTGTACACGTGTCTCAGAAATATAGAATGCATCCATGACCCGAGATTCCATAGTTTTGACAAGATACGTCTGCTGTCCAAATTTTCATGGGATTTGGAAGTCGAAGGCTGCAAAGTGGAGTCGACAGTGGGAACGGCTATTCACTGGCTTGGATCGTTAGCAATGTTCGCAGGGTGAAAGCGTGACGAAATTGAAAGAGAATTAATAGTGGTATCAGGAAGTAAAACCAAGGCAGGTAGTAAAGTTAAGGAGGGCACGTTATGGTTGATTGGGTTTTGTATATTGCCGAAAGTGTAAGGGCGGCTCACATCATGGGAGTTGTTTCTGAAACGTATCTGAATACGAAAAAGGGAAATACTTGCGTGATCGCAGATCACAAGCAGCATCTAATTGAGGTCAATCATAAACGGTCATTTTACGAGCTTGAGATTTTTGTTTGTATATTTCAAATCTGACCATAAACCCACGCTGTCGGCATCAGAATACTGTAGGGCAGGAAGGAGTGTCCTACTTTTGGCGCTGACCACTTCTAACCCACCATTCATACAAAGAAGGTAGCATCAGCATGATACTAGTGGACATTCAAGAAAAATTTATGACTGATGTCACACCTCAGTTCTTGGAACTTCATCTTAGCGTATTAATTTACAATATAACGGTAACCTTTTTTATCTAACTACTACCCAAAAGACATTCATGGGCAGGGTAGGGGCCTCGAGCAAACAAGTGTTTCATTAGCATACCTCATTGGGTCATTGTGACATGCAAGCCCGACCACCAAGTCAAGGTAGCAGCTAACGGTCAGGTCATTATAAGATGGATTTCAACGGTTAGATGAGAATATCTACTTCTGCATATAACTGTCTAACGAAGGTTGATAAAGCAAAATCTTAGACTGAAGACAGTGAGTCAATGTAATCATTCCAGAACGATTTCTTTCAGTACATCTGAACACAGACCTTCAACACCCCCTCCAGAGTTCCTCAAGAACACGTGTCCTGTACAGGAAGCACATGGAACGTTTCACTATCCGATTCATCCTTTCGATCAGTACATATAAGGATTACATCAAGTTCCTACGCGCGCATCCAATGAAACAGCGAGCGGATTACTTTTGACTTAGACGAACCTGGGTGAAAAAGGGAGCTCCAGGAACACGAAGTGTGAATAGTTACAACTCGAAAGATGCAGGTAGTGAAACGAAGAGAATAACCGTATTGAAATCTTTTATATGAATCTCAGAATAACAACACGCATCCATGATTCGATGATTTCGCAGTTTTTGGTAGTAAGATGTGGCAGCATCTGATCTCCGGCTGACACTGGATTAAAGAGACAATAAGTAGCTTTTTTGGAGCTAGTCACTGAAAGTGATCACAGCGTACAAGATTGAGGAAATTATCAGAATAATAATGTTAGTAATCCCAAGAGTTGGCGAAAGCAGAGAACGAACAAAAATACAAGTCCAAAGATCGAAATTAACTAGGACCAGTCATTACTGCGTAACAGTCCGAGTTGCTACACCTCATATCAGTACATCAAGTAAAAAGGCAGTGAAGTGGAAGTTGAAGAAAAGAAAAGAAATCACATCAAAATAAATATAAAGTACGAAAAGATAGAAATGATGGACGAGAGAATGGTGAGAT